CTGGAGCTGTGTACCGGAGCTGTTCCTATTCCACCATCTTGCCCTCATCCCCAATCTTTACTTACTTAAAGGTTAGTAGCAATGTGGAAGCTGAAACCATAGCAATAACTGTTTTCTATTCTGTCACATTAAAATCCATTGGTTTATCTTGCACTTAGATCTTTTACTCATGCCTAATTTCATAACATGCCCTGGTCTTTTGGAAAATTGGTTTACTCAGTTATGCAGATGTTCTAAGTGCTGACACATTTCATTATATAACATCAAAACTCACAGTCACTAATATCATCAATTCATTAATAGCATCTGTTTCATGAGAAAGGTCATTAAGTACCAGGAAGCTATCAGGCTCACAGTGGTGGATATAAGTTTTCAAAAATTTTTTAATTGAAAGCAAAAACTGAGTTATGGGCAACAAATTCTGTTAATTGTTTTCTTTGACATGCCAGACTCAGTTGATTAATTATCAGGAAAATAAAAATTATTCAAGTCTGCCAATACTGAAATCTGAATAGTCATAATCTGTCTTTCAGTCTTTCATGGGAATAAAGATGCTATTCCATGAAAAATCACCTAGTTCAGCCTGCAACTCAGTTGCACTTCTGCCTTTCCTTTTTTTTTTTTTTTTTTCAGACAGAGTCTTGCTCTGTTACTTGGACTGGAGTGCAGTGATGCAAACATAGTTTATTGCAGCCTCAAGCTCCTGGGCTACAACCATTCCACCTGCCTCACCTTCCTGATTAGCTAGAACTACAGGAATGCACTACCATGCCTGGCTGTGTTTTTGTTTTTGTTTTTAGAAATGGGGTCTTCTTACATTGCCCAGGGTGGTCTCAAACTCTTGGCTCAAGTGATCTTCCCACCTTGGCCTCCCAAAGTGCTGGGATTACAGCTGTGAGCCACTGGGCACAAGCCTCTCTGTTTCCTCTACATAACTATTGCACTTTGAAATGCAGCAGAAGTGCTTTATACATACTATCTCTTTTCGTCTGTTTTTATGCTGCTGTTAAAGACATAGAGGCTGGGAAGAAAAAGAGGTTTAATTGGATTTACAGTTCCACATGGCTGGGGAGGCCTCAGAATCATGGCAGGAGGGGAAAGGCACTTCTTACATGGCAGTAGCAAGAGAATAACGAAGAAGAAACAAAAGCAGAAAGCCCTGATAAACCCATCAGATCTCATGAGACTTAATTCACTATCACCAGACTAGCATGGGAAAGATCAAGCCCATGATTCAATTACTTACCCCTGGGTCCCTCCCACAACACGAGGGAAATCTTGGAGATACAATTCAAGTTGAGATTTGGGTGGGGACATAGCCAAACCATATCACTATCCATTTCCTCCCATGGGATATTAAAAATACTCATAACAGATTTAATAAAATTTTAATTTGTACTGTATTATCAAAGACATTCTTAAGTGAAACTGGCATTTAAAAAAATAAACATGAGTGTGTGGTGACAAAGGATACGGTCACAACTCGTACAGTTTGGTGCCACTGCCTTGATTCATGCCAAGGTACTGGCAGTTTAACTCGCTGTTCCTTTTTTATCATGAGTTCAAATGTCAGCACCATGAAAAAGGAAACCAACATCTTAATATGCATGTGAGAATAGTTTCAACCTCATGGATGCCCCAAGAGGATCTCAGTAACCCTTGAGAGTGTGAACCACACTGATTACTGCTAACTGGGAGGCTCCCAGTCTTTCATTCTAACTGGAAGGCTCCCAGTCTTTCCAGCCATCTCATAGCTGTGTTCAAACACTCGGCTTTGGGGGTAAGACACTGGTTTGTTCCCCATGTTTCTAAGGGGACATGAGGAATTTGCAAGGCTCCCTCAGGCCCCTCATGCCCAGCATCATGGTGCAACCTCTGTTATTTTTTCCCTTATGCTTTGGTGAAGGTGTTCTGTGAAGGTCCTCATCATAACGTAGTCCTGTCAGCCCTGAGATCCCCAGCTTTGTGTATGAGTGGGTTTGTTACCATTAATATCAGAGCTTGGTGGGCCTTTACCCTCTCAGGCACACTCATCAATATCCTAATACTGAACCCAAATCTGCATCCTATTTATATTCACACATTAACGTCAATCCCATCTTTTGGACTTACAAAGAACAATTTGAATCCCTTTACAAAAATAGTCCTTTTGATTTTTTCCAAAAGGCTGTCAACCTCCCTGTCACTTCTATTCTCAAAAACTAAATGCTATGACGGGAATGAGATGGACATGGGTTTAAGTTTTGCACAGTCACCTGAACTGTGATGTTGGGCAAGTCACTTCATTTCTTTCATTTCTGGTTCATTATCTGTGAAACAGGGATAATAATTCTTAACTCATAAGGTGCTATGGGGATTTCAGTGTTTTAAGGTGAGGTTCCCAGCCCCAGGGCTGCAGACTGGTACCAGTCTGTGATCTGTTAGGAACCAGGCGGCACAGCAGGAGGTGATCCGCATTACTGCTGCCTCCTGTCAGATCAGCGGAGGCATTAGATTTTCATAGGAGTGCAAATCCTATTGTGGACTGGCATGCAAGGGATCTAGGTTGCATGATCCTTATGAGAATCTAACTAATGCCTGATGATCTGAGGTGGAACAGTTTCATCCCAAAACCATCTTCCCTCCCTTCCCTCCAAGTCCATGGAAAAATTATCTGCCATGAAACTGGTCCCTGGTGCCAAAAAGGTTGGGGACCACTGGCCGGGTGCGGTGGCTCATGCCTGTAATCCCAGCACTTTGAGAGGCCATGGCTGGCGGATCACGAGGTCAGGAGATGGAGATCATCTTGGCTAACACAGTGAAACCCCTTCTCTACTAAAAATACAAAAAATTAGCCTGGTGTGGTGGCTCGTGCTGGTAGTCCCAGCTACTTGGGGAGGCTGAGGCAGGAGAATCGCTTGAATCCGGGAGTCGGAGGTTGCAGTGAGGTGAGATCACACCACAGCACTCCAGTCTGGTGACAGGTCTCAAAAAAAAGAAAGGAAAATTGGAGACCACTGTTTTAAGGGATCAAATTGAATGCTGAGTGCATAGTAGACATACAACAAATGTTATTTCTCTTTGCTTTTTGAAGAATGTCCTACTCATAATTTATTTTAAAATATAAATATATTTTGAAATTTTAATAATAGGTATTATTACTAGTGGTAATGGCACCATAATATCACATTTTATTAAGAATTGTTGCCCTTCTCCCATGCTGGTCTTCCAAATCTATAAATTTGATCCTAGGATCTACCTACCAGTTGACTATCAGTTTGAGGCATTTTTTTTTTTTTTTTTGGATGGAAGAATAAGGCATAGAAATAAATGTTCAAGAATCTGAGATGAAAAACTTAAAACTATTCATACATTAGGGGACTTCATAAGCAAAAGAAAGATAGATGCCTCATATTTCACAGAGGGAATTAAAGTATGATAATAAATAAATAAATCCTATTGTATAAGCAAAAAGAAGAAAATGGCTCCAATGGCTTTCATTTTTCTGACAAGCAATGAACCAGTGACATAGAAGCTAAGATTACAGGAGTATAGACCAATGATCTAATTATGAAGCTCTCATAAACTTGAAGTACATAAGAATGAAGTTGAGAGATGTGGAAATGTATCAACAAAGGATATCATGGAGTCTTTAGAGATGTAAAGAGTATTAGTCTCTCCAGGGCCAGGCTAGCCAGTAATGGGGTGGCGATTCGGGAAGGCCTCTTACAGCTTTATTAATTCCGGGACACCTCATTTACCTGGAATAATGTTTCACAGGGATAAACTATTTTATAGAAATAAAAAAATTTCAGAAAATTAAATTACTTACCTCCTGAAACTAAGACTATTTTTATTTTAAATCAGTGGTTTATAACCCAGAGTTTATGAATCAGTTCTAGGAAGTTTCTGAACTGCCTAAAATTATGTGGAAGATTTTGTGGGGTTTTTCTCACATGCATGTTTCTGAAGAAAGAATCCATTATTTTTACAAGTTTTTCAAAATGAACTATAATCCATAAACAGTAAGAACTACTGTTTCAATCAATTCTTGAAGTAATTTTTTTCCAATTGATTATTGACTTTCCCTATCTTATTTGCTACTAGTTGGGAAACTGGACACATTCAGGGACACTGATTTTAAATTCTTATGATTTAAAATTCTAGTGATGTCTCTGTGTGTGTGTATGTGTGTGTGTGTGTGTCCTCTTTCACAGTTATTCTTCCCTTGTAACCAGTAGGTTTGTTTATAGCAGTTTCTCCCTGCCAACTATCAAGTAGCTAGAAAATTACATAACAAAGCTTGTTAGAATAATGGTAAATAGACTCTTTGTGAAAGTGTCTCCTATGAATAAAGTGTACAGGTGTTTGTGTGCAGGCCATGGGGTATCTCTTTTACTGAGTCAGGGACCAGTTTTACTTCACATTCTTCACTGTGGTCTTGATGACCAAGCTGACCAGATACACATGATTTCCTGACACTTGAGAGATAGATGTGTTGTTTACACAATGTAGACTCCACTAGTATGTAAATTTCACTCTGTGTTATTGGGCTTTGTATTTGTCAACTATTGCCACAGTAGTGCTACATTCCAAAGCACCCCAAAACTATGATACAAGCATTTATTCCTCTGCTGGTCAGCCAGAGCTTTGCTGGTCTAAATGTGTTTAGTTGGGCTTGTCTCAAAACTGTGGGTTGGATGCAGTTCTGCCACAGCACTTCTTCTTGGGTCAGTAGCTATTTGAGGCAAAGATGTGGTAAAAGAGAGGTGAGCAGAGACATATGATACTGCTTAAGGCCTAGGTTTGGGACTGAGACACTTGCTTCTACCTACCTTACACTGCCATAGCAAACCACATAGTTAAACTCAGCAATGTGGAAGGGAAGAATATTCCTCCAAAAAGAGCAAGTGAATATTGGCTGAATAATTACTTGGCCACAAGCTGCTGTTTTTTAATAAGTAAATTCAGATATTTAAAAATGGAGAAATAACTACAGATCAACTTGTCATGATTTTTTTAAGTCATAACCAGTTTTATTGCAAAAGGACCCTGTACACATTTACCAATTCTAGTACCTTAATAGCTACCCAACAAGTCATTAACATACAGAAACATGCATCATGAGAAGCAAGAAGTTACCACCCATCCCTTCCGCATATTAGCAACTTGTCACTCCTGAGCAACAGTGCTCACATCACTGAGGTCTGTGAACAGTCACTTTTCGCATCCATCCTGAGTGAAAGGTGGAATGACTTAAGTACAAATGCAACATATTATAAACAATTTCTTACCAAAAAAAAGTCGTAAACGAAAGTATTTTACAGAATTTACTACAAAACGTCATAAAACCTGCCTTCACTTAAGCTCTCTCTCCGTATCCGGCGAGCCAACCTGGATGTCTTTGGGCATGCTGGTGACTCTTAGCGTGGATGGCACACAGGTTAGTATCTTCGAGCATACCCACCAGGTAGGCTTCAGCAGCCTCCTGCCGCGCTCTGAAACCTCAGGTCGGTGTTGAAATCCTGCGCGATCTCCCTCACCAACCTCTGGAAAGGCAGCTTCCCGATGGAAGGACGAATCTCTCCAAGCGCTACGGTCCCGGGCCTGTAGCGATGAGGTTTCTTCACCCCGCTGGTAGAGGGGGCGCTTTTGCTGGCGGCTTCCGTGGCCAGCTGCTTGCGGGGTGCTTTCCCACCAGTGGATTTACCAGCAGTCTGCTTGGTTCGGGCCATTTTCTTTTACCCCACGCGGAAGTTTTAGGCCACTTCTCCGACCGCCGCGCCGCTTCTGCGACCTGAGGAAGAGCCGCAGTCGACAAGCGGAGAAACGACACTGCCCCCAGCGAACGACCAAACCGCTCTGCGCTCGCTTGGCATGATTTTTTATAAGGCCGATTACACGTTCTTTTAAGATCTCAAAACTTCCAAAAGAAAGAACTTTTTATTGCCATTCATCCTAAAAGTGTAAGTAATGGACCAAAAAACAAAACAAAAAACCCAATCTCACCCAGCTTAAAATATGAAGGAAAAAATATTGCCGATATTCCCTCAGGCATAAAATTTCAAACCTAATTCTGAATCACAGTTTATGGATATTATCATTTGAGTGGCTTTCTTGAGCTCCCATGATACAGTAATCCCACAAGGGGCAGTTTGTTGTTTCTGATAATATAGTGTCTATCTGAATTCCCCTTCTTCTTCTCTTATTACAATGTGTCTGTGTAAATAGAGAAATTTTACCTTCATAATTTATTCATGGCTGGGAAGAAGGGTGCAGCCTTAGGGAGAATCACTGAAGAGAGGCATTGCCAGTCCTCACTCAGGGACAGCTCTCATGTATGCATCCCAAGGATCAATGAGAGCAGCTTTCCTTAATTTAGAACACCTGAACACAGTAGGAAGCTGCTGACCTTTATATGTACTTTCTGGCTTTTTATTCTTTCTTGATGTAAGATTCTTCCTTAAAATGGGGATGATACAGCTTATGTCTCTAAGACTTAACGAATAACACACCATGGGCAGGATGTAGGGTGATCTTGATGGGAAAGGGCATGAGACTTGGCCTCAGTTGGCCAGTTTGAATTCCGATGGCTATTAATGACCTTGGGAAACAGACCTGACTTCTCTGAGCCAAGTCAGCTTATCACTAAAGAGAGTATACTCATGTCTGTCTCACAGCACTGTGTATTTCACACAAATTAGCTCTCAGTTACCTACAAAATGGAAAGTATTTATCGGCCTACATGAGTAGGAGAAACTAAGAGAACTTTGGTTCTAGAGAGTTTTAAATCCTTGGAAGAACCACCAAAATAAAGTGAAGAGCACTCTTATATTCTAATCTTGGATTCCAACTGTATAAAATTAAACAGAAGAGAAGCAGAGAGGAGTTAGTTTCCAAACACTCAGATGTTATAAGAATTGTTCACAGTCATTGATTTTATATCTTGAAATCCTACAAGTTTCAAAAAAGGCTAATTCAGACAATATGCACTTCCTTCCAGTGATATTAGATGAATGGGAGTGGTGCAGGATGGAAAAAGAAAAAAAAAAAACACAGATGAACAAATTTGCCACTGTTTTCAAGTTTCTTTCTTTATTTTTCTTTTTTTTGGAGACAGAGTCTTGCCCTGTCACCCAGGCCGGAGTGCAGTGGCACAATCTCGGCTCACTGCAACCTCCACCTCCCAGGTTCAAATGATTCTATGCCTCAGCCACCCGAGTAGCTGGCATTACAGACGCATACCACCACACCTGGCTAATTTTTGTATTTTGAGTAGAGGCGGAGTTTCACCATGTTGGCCAGGCTAGTCTCATACTTCCAGCCTCAAGTGATCTGCCTTTCTCAGCCTCCTAAAGTGCTGGAATTACAAGTATGAGCCACCACCCCTGGCTGTTTTCAAGTTTCTAAGTATTAACTTTTTATGGAGAAACTGTTTAACTCTCTTATGAAAACTGTCTTACCTCTGTACAATGTCGAAGTAACCTGTAAACAAAACACTAATTGTATTCTTGTTTAACATTTAAAATAAGTTTTCTCTAAAATTGATAATCCTATAACAATAGTAACAATGACTGTTTCTAAGCCTTCCCATGCAAGGCCCTATGCAAAATGCTTCATATGAATTATCTAATAGACCTGCATGAAGACAAATATTCAACTTCTATTAAAAATAAAGACATTAAACACCAAAGTATTTAGAATGCTGTTAAGGCAAAATGATTTACTTTGTTCAGTTGTCCTAGATAGAAAAAAAAAAACCAAATAGCCAGATAAGTGCAAATGGAAAGACACACACAGCTCACTATGGAGAGCACTGATTATCAGCATCTTTCACTTAGTTCCATGAAGATATTTTTATTGACTGTCATGCATGGCTTAATGTCAGGGATGAGTTCTAAGAGATGTCTTGTTAGGCAATTTCATCATTGTGTGAACATCATAGAGTGTACTTACACAAACATAGATGGTGTAGCCTATTACACACCTAGGCTATATGGCACAACCTATTGCTCCTAGGCCACAAAGCAGTACAGCATGTTACTGTACTGGATACTGTAGGCAACTGTTACACAATTTGTAAACATACCCAAACATACAAAATATACAGTAAAAATATGGCATATAAGATAAAAAGTGGTACATCTGTGTAAGGCATATACCATAAATGAAGCTTGCAGGACTGGAAGCTTCTCTGGGTGAGTAGTGAGTGGTAAGCGAATGTGACGGCCTAGGATATTACTGTCTACTACTATAGACCTTATAACTGCTGAATAGTATGCATAGGCTATACTAGATTAATAACAAAATATTTTTCATTTTTTAATAATTAACCTTAGCTTGTCATAACTCTTATCCTTTATAAAATTTTTAATTTTTTAAAGTTTGACTTTTTTGTAGTAATGCTTAGCTTGAAATACAAGCACATTGTACAGCTATATTAAAAAATCCTTTGATCAAGAACTTAGAAGAAGGGATCCAAGATGGCTGATTAGGAGCAGCTCAGGATTGCAGCTCCCAGTGAAAGCGCGGAGGGTGAGTGGATGCCGCATTTCCAGATGGATTTTTATTGCCCCACAGACCAGTAGATTCCCAGGCAGAGGAGCCCCATGGGTTGCCAGAGTGGCTGGTTTGGCTGGCGCGGCTGTTTTGGTCGGTGCAGCTGTTTTGTTGACACCCCAGCGCTGCGGTTCTCCATACAAAATACATGGGCCTGGGCGCCATTTTAGCTGGCGATTGGAGCTCCAGCAAGGCAGAGTTGCCCATTCATCTGATTAAAAAGGGGACTGAAATAGGGAGCCAGGCCATCTTGGGTCCTCTCTCTATCCTTGTTAATTTTCTGTCTTGTTGATCTGTCTAATATTGACAGTGGGGTGTTAAAGTCTCCCAATATTATTGTGTGGGAGACAATATTAAGTCTCTTTGTAGGTCATTAAGAACTTGCCTTATGTATCTGGGTGCTCCTGTATTGGGCGCATATATATTTAGGATCATTAGATCTTCTTATTGCATTGATCCTTTTACCATTATACAATGTCCTTCTTTGTCTCTTTTGATCTTTGTTGCTTGTAAGTCTATTTTATCAGAGACGAGAACTGCCACTCCTGCTTTTTTTGCTCTCCATTTGCTTGGTAAATCTTCCTCCATCCCTTTATTTTGAGCCTTTGTGTATCCTTGCATGTGAGATGGGTTTCCTGTATACAGCACACTGATGGGTTTTGGCTTTTTATCCAATTTGCCAGTCTGTGTCTTTCGATTGGGGCATTTAGTCCATTTACATTTAGGGTTAATATTGTTATGTGTGAATTTGATACTGCCATTTTGTTGCTAGCTGGCTGTTTTGCCCGTGAGTTGATGCAGATTCTTCATTGTGTTGATGCTTTTTACCATTTGGTATGTTTTTGGAGTGGCTGGTACTGATTGTTCCTTTATATGTGTAGAGCCTCTTTCAGGAGCTCTTGTAAAGCAGGCCTGGTGGTGATGAAATCTCTGAGTAATTGCTTGTTCACAAAGGATTTTATTTTTCCTTCACTTATGAAGCTTAGTTTGGCTGGATAGGAGATTCTGGGTTGAAAGTTCTTTTCTTTAAGGATGTTGAATATTGGCCCCCACTCTCTTCTGGCTTATAGGGTTTCTGCTGAGAGATCTGCTGTGAGTCTCATGGGCTTCGCTTTGTGGGTAACCCGACCTTTCTCTCTGGCTGCCCTTAGCATTTTCTCCTTCATTTCAACTCTGGTGAATCTGACGATTATGTGCCTTGGGGTTGCTCTTCTTGAGGAATATCTTTGTGGTGTTCTCTGTATTTCCTGGACGTGAATATTGGCCTGCCTTGCTAGGTTGGGGAAGTTTTCCTGCATCATATCCTGAAGAGTATTTTCCAGCTTGGATTCATTCTCTTTGTCACATTCAGGTACGCCTATCAAACGTAGATTAGGTCTTTTCTTATAGTTCCCATAGTTCTTAGAGACTTTGTTTATTCCTTTTTGCCCTTTTTTCTCTAATCTTGGCTTCTCATTTTATTTCATTGAGTTGATCTTCGATCTCTGATATCCTTTCTTCTGCTTGGTCAATTTGGCTGTTGAAACTTGTGCATGCTTCGTGAAGTTCTCATTTTGTGTTTTTCAGCTCCATCAGTTCACTTATATTTCTCTCTAAGTTGTTTACTCTCATTAGCATTTTGTCAAAACTTATTTCAAGGGTCTTAGTTTCTTTGTATTGGATTAGAACATTTTCTTTCAGCCCACAGAAGTTCCTTATTACCCACTTTTTGAAGCCTGATTCTGTCAATTCATCACACTCATTCTCCATCCAGCCTTGTTCCCTTGCTGGTGAGGAGTTGTGATCCCTTTTAGGAGGAGAGGCATTCTGGTTTCGGGTGTTTTCATTCTTTTTGTGCTGGTTTCTTCCCATCTTTTGGATTTATCCACCTGTCATCTTTGTAGTTGCTGAGTTTCAGATTGGGTCTCTTAGTGGATGTCCAGTTTGTTGATGATGAAGTTATTTCTTTCTGTTTGTTAGTTTTCTTTCTAACAGTCTGGCCCCTCTGCTATAGGACTGCTGAGGTCCACTCCAGTCCCTGCTTGCCTGAGGATCACCTGCAGCAGCTGCAGAACAGTAAGGGTTGCTGCCAGTTTCTTCTTCTGCTATCTTCTCCCAGAAAGATACTGGCTAGATGTCAGTCTGAGCTCTCCTTTATGAGGTGACTCTTTGGATATACGGGGATCAGGGACCTGCTTCAGGAGACAGTCTGTCCTTTATAGGAGCTCAAGTGCTGTGCTGTGAGATCCATTGTTCATTCGGAGCTGCTGGGCAGGTACGTTTAACTCTGCTGTAGCAGAACTCATAAACCCCCTCTTTTTTTTTTCTCCTCAGGTGT